AAGTATACAACTGAAACGTTATTTGAGACTGGTCAAATGACTTAAATGACGCCTAAATCACATGAAAAATAAAAATAGGTCAAAAAATAAAGTTTTAGAGCCCCCAAAATTTGGTACCCCAAGTGGTGTCCCAAAAACGCGAATAAATAGTAATAATTGTTTTAGTCTCTTTGAGTCCTTGAACACCATTTTAGGTTAGACGGGTTCCTGCTCTCAATCTAACTATCATGACTGAAATATAGATCTACGTGGGGTCGTGGGAAAATCCTGTCCTTAGGCTTTGGCATTAACAACATCACTGAATGATTTCCCACAACAGCTACCAAATATCTTGTGAGCAATAGCCCAGGAGAGTTTAAAATACCGTTTGATCCAAGTGAATTGGTCATCCCTCTATATCTACAACATTGCTGATTCAGCAGACACCTTCGTCAACAAAGCTATTAAAATCTTAATGTTCCTATCTAGAATTGGTTCACAGTAATCCCAAATAAAATCCTGTTATACCTCCATTAGCCCTTTCGTTTAGCAAAGGAGACCTAGTTGGCATATAGGTTAAACAATTATTTAGCGTAAGGGCAACAATTCACTAGCGTCCTTGAGCTTTTTGTTAAGCTCAATTACCCAATATTTAAGATTTCCCCCCATCTTTCTTGATGTTTTTACTCCACAATGAACTATATTGTTTTTAATCACCTACACAAGTAGGATCCTTAGCTTATTTATGGTGAAGCATTCTATTCTTCTTCAGGCAAAGCGGGTGTCCAAAATACATTCCTTTTCCAAGACCCAAATTCTGAGTACGGTATTGATCACAATTATCAGTGTCGTAGAGGTATGAAACTTTTCTCAACTTTTTCTGAACAATCTGCATGAATATAGCAAGAACAGTGTTGTGAGTGCACTGAAAAACTGTTGATGCTTCACTGATGCAGGATGCTGCATCTTGATCTGATGACTCAACAAATTTAGCAATTTTCAGATATGTTTCCATCAACATTTTTCTCTATTTTCTGATAACCTTTAAAACATTCCTGCTAACCGAAATTTTAACACATTTTTATTATTTAAAACATAAAGAATTTAATATTACCATTTTGCCCTAGTACAAGATGGGTTAAAAAGAACCAGTGTAAATCAATCTGCGATTGCACATGGCTTGTTATATTTGTTTTAAGCATGATTTAGCCAGTGCGCTCATAATGTTTTACTTCAACACCCAACTTTTAAGATGTTTATCCAACGTTGCTAATATTAAGTCGATGTATCATGATAGTGGCTGAATAAAATGAGGCAGGGTCAGTTTGTTTATTTATACAGCAAAGAGGTGTGGTATGAGTTAAAGACCGAGAGGCTAGGAGATAGTGATGACTCAAAACATATCTAACTACTGCAATAAATCCAAACTCTCAAAGCTATAAGGCTGACGATCGGTAAAGTAACCTGACCTGAGTTTAAGGCCAGAGGGGGGGGTAAATGGCACTTTTCTAGTTTTCACATATTTGATAATAGCTGCTGGAGACAAACAAGAAGAAAAAAACCAGATCAAAATCTGACCTTGCGTTCCTGAGATATCGCGCGCTAAATTTTGAGGTTTACCTGTAATTACATGTTGAACTGGATCTTTAAACGGCTGTAACTTTTTTGACCTTTCGATTCCTTAGTTGAGAAAACCGGCCACTCCCTGATCTTGAGGTTTGGTACAGTGGTTCCTTAGACAATTATCCTCATTTATTATGTGAGCGATTTTTGTTATTTGACTCGGTTCTTGAATTATGAGGTTAACTATGTCAAAAATTCGGAAAATTTAGCTGGTTAACCTCATAATTCGAGAACCGAGTCAAATAAAAAAAATCGGTCACATAATAAATGAGGATAATTGTCCAAGGAACCACTGTACCAAATCTCAATATCAGGGGGTGGCTGGTTTTCTCAACTAAGGAATCGAAAGGTCAAAAAATGTGTTTTGAGATAGATGCAATTTAGTGTTTTCAAAATTTTGAATATTCACTGGAATGTATCACAGTTCGTTAGTTAGGACTTTTTATAAACTTAATAACGTTTGCTTGATCAGACCTGGCCGTCCCCTAAATGATTTTAGCTACTTTCAGTAGTTAATTTCCTTGTATTGTAAAAAATGAGGTTAACCAAGACTTCCTGTAAACACTAACTACTTAAAATTTGGTTGTTAACCTCGCTTTAGACCATATAACACTGGGATTGGTTTATCAATATGTTATTATATATGTAGTAAAACATTTGCACAGTATAACGATTAAGTTTTTGAGGTTAAAATATAATTGATTAGTCAGGTATTCAAAAAATGAGAGGTTAACCTCATTTTTTAGCCATTTACGGGTAAAATCTTCTACTAAAATATGGTCAGTTCGAATCACCTTTGTCACGTGATTATAGTTGTAGGCATTGTGATACCAATAGATACCTCACTTCGATATTGTGGTACATTACATAAATAAGAATCGTATGTATATTCCCTACGGTACCAAAATGTGTTGGTTAACCTCATTTTTTTCATTTTCCCAAGATAAAAGAAAGTCAATCAACACGTCATCTATTTAGAAATGTGTATACCGTAAACTTACGATGAAAATAATAACTCTATCATTTGATCTATTCTCGCTATATCTAAAAGACGAGGTTAACCTCATTTAATCACGTTTGGATATTACTTTTTCTGACAATTATGAACCTAAAATTTAGAGTTTACATTTGCTGACCGAAATAACAAAAAATTATGGCGTGTAATAAAATATTAACCTCAATTTTATTAACCTCAATGTTGTATAGTCAATTTTGTGAAAATCGGTTAACCTCAATTATAAAATAAAGTTAATCAGCTACAAATATGTGAATAGCGGCAATGTTTTTGTCATTAAAAATTAAATCGATTTAGAAAATAATATTTTGGTAGAATTTTTTGACCCCTTACCCCCCCCCCCCCCCCCTCTGGCCTTAAACTTGAAATTGTATGACAGTTTTTTCAAGCTTGAAGCTTCATACCATTTAAGCCATATCATGTGAATCATATTCAAGGAACTTTGGGAAAAATACCATTCTCACTGTAATCTACTCATCCAAATTTCCGATAAACTTAGCTACAACAGTAGTCAGTGAGCACGAATCTTTGGGTAATTGCTAGTAGGGGGTCTTGTTAAAAGATCATAGATCTTGTAGGGGCATCATTAAATAAAAATTTAAAGGGAATAAAAGGTACCCCTTCAGCACTTGTGCTACAAATATACTAACACTAGCTATACTATACTCCACTAGAAACGTTAAGCAAGACATAAAGTGTATTGTTTCATTTTCGAAATGACATGATTAAGAGTTGAGAGTAGCGCTCGATTTTGTACAATACTCCAAATTTTAAACACAGACCAGTGAATGTGCGCGGCGCGCACCTACATCCATTTGCTGTGTACTATATAAATTACTATACTATGTGTATATAGTGATGAGACATTATTACTTGATTGATGATGTCAACCCTTCCAGATCGTTGCTTACCTAATTAACAGAGCAACGATCTATTTAAAAAACCTAATCAAATTTCTCAATAGAATGAACATTTATAAAATACTTTTATGCCACACAATTGACAATATAAAATTGGATAAAATCAAAAATAATCGTTCTGTCATAAAATGGGATATTATATATATAGTAATAATAAGCTATAGTAATAGTAATAATAAGCTATAGTAAATTCGACTTTTTGCTCAAAACTTGATACATGTTTCGTATCCAAATATCAGAGATATTATGGATACACCATGAAGGAACATCTCTGCGCGGCGTAAGTAAATTTACAAGTTCGCGCGAAAAATTGTCTTATTTTCCTGGCGCTTTGTTCTCGCGCCGGGAGTGAATCACTAATTAGCTAACTACTTCACTAGTATAATCTACAATCTAGATCTACAATACGAAGTAAGAGTTACCACGTTTCTCTTTTATTTCTCCGTTAAGCCTACAATTCTAATAACTAACAATGGAGTATGAGGTCAATTAAATGTCCATAGATATGGATTATAGAAATTATATAAACACATAATTGAACAGCATGAGACAAGTGGAAAACTAACAAACGAATAGATTTCAAGCTCGTAAAGGATCGTTGCTGGATATTGGAGATTTCAAAACTGTAGTCCGACAGTCAAAGTTCTCTTGTCTAACTTTAGTGCGTATCGAACTTGACTCCAGATAGAGCACTTTAGTTCGACAGAGTCGAACCTCAGGGTTTGTCGAACTACATGGTAAGTGACGAACTAGAGTGCGTGTCGAACTTGGGTACGTGTACCGAATTTACCATGGTAAAAACATCTTCACACCGTAAAATGGGCAAAAGCTACAATAACGGTTCCTCCGACATTGTTTACAGCGGGCAATATCCTTTATTTCATTCAATTCTTCTGAAGTGTTCATGACCAAATTACGGTCTTTAGGATCGTCCATTAATAATTTAAGGAGGCTTTTGCCGGGACAACCTATACACCCTTTTAATTTTGACAGGGCACCTCAGAAGTAGATGGTTCTAAAACAAAACATAAATAAATCTAATCCCTTTAAAATAAATATGCTACCTTCTAGCTTACTCATAGAACACAACTCGGAATGAGCTTTTATACTTCATATTCAAATCAAGCGGTAAGTAAATATTGATAATATAACTAACTCTACTGCATTATAATCCACCTTGCGTGGCTGAGAGGACCAATTCGTTCTCTCGACAGTTCAGGACTCAGAACCCCTTAAATTTTTTAATGGCAGGTCTATCCTGTGAAGGCACCAAATAAATCTTTGCAATTCCCATCCAAAATTCTTCTCTAAGAGGGCTATAATCCCATTGTGACGTCCGGTGTTGACGTTAGTGGCGTAACAGCCACAAGATCTTAGTGGCGAGTTGTCTAATGTCTATCCTAAGCTCATCACAATGCTGCATCTTTTCTCCCGTCAATTAGGTAGAGCGACTCCACTTTCAGATTCCGAAGGTCTTCTAACTCATTCTCTTTAGATCGCTGCACTATCTTTGGATTTCTTCAGTCTCCTGAAATATATTATGTCACAATAGATCATTAGATGATACGTAAAGATACTGTACAGGCAATCCATGATTGTTGATTTGTTTGCATACCCAAATATTTCTTTTATATTAGGATGTATTTGAAAAGTAACTTAAAACGACATGCAGAGCGACCAATAACGCCTGAATCAATGCTTGGTAGCACAAACCGGAGGTTAAAAATGAATATTTGACCACATGGTGACATGGTTGTTGCATGGGTCACTTGCAAGTTCATATATCACATACTTGGTTTTACATTTCGGAAAGCAGCGTGGGTTTCAGAGTTCCGACTCCACTTGAGGATATGCTCCTGATAGCGTAATCCAGTTTCTTTATATTTGGGATAACCTCCGAAACAGAAACCATGTCCCCCTCCGCCGCTTTTGTGGTGATGTAGAATGGCTTCAGTACCGCAATAGCTTTGGGCAGAAGATCCCAATCGTGAGGAGTCATCTGCAAAATTCTGTTGATCAATACTTAGCCTGTACATTGAGAAGTAAGCTAGGAATTAGGAGGTCCAGCGGACAAGAATTTGTTCCAGTTACATTCCAGGGACATTGATTCTCTAAACTTGATGTTAACTAGTGCTACTCAGAAAATGAGAGATGAGTCAAAAGAGCTGCATGTAAACTGACCTGTTGAGATGCAGACAACGATAACTCTGCATTTTGAGCGGTGATTGTTATTGCATATTTTTTATTCTGAAAGGCCTGGAACATCATGTAATAACTGTTCCATCTCGTGTCCACTGCAACTGGTCTGATGAGAGTTGCCTCTACTGCTTGATTTTCATTCAGTAGACGTTTACCTGCATGTGCGGGATAGTTTAACATATGATAGTTAAGAAATGATAAACGCAAGTCGTAACAACTTAACAATGATAGTTTTGCCAAGATTATGTCACTCAACGAACATGTACCTACGGCAACATTTTAATCAAACGTTATTAATGTGTACATTTCAGTAAGAAAATATTTTGAATCAGCCGTTATTATCAGATTAAGTATGTGACAATGAAATCATCAAACAGAAAACCTAAGGTAAATGTAGTGATTCTCACCTGCAGGGGTTCTAAACTCCTTGATAAGACTCTTGATCTTTTTGATAAGCCGGTTAACTCCACTTTGAGAAAAACAGAATTCTTTACGATGAGATTCAGTAGATGGAGAAAACAGGATCCAGGCGGACAAAGCCTTTTTCATGTTCGAAGCAGTGTCGCTGATAACGCAGTGAAGTTTCTCTTCGGACAGACCCCATGCCTGCAGTACAAATGACACATTGTTCTTTAACGAGTCACGTAATAATTTGTAATTAGAAACTATGTGGGCAGCTAACGGTTAATATTTTCTACTATCAAAAAGCTAAGCGCACTCTGATGAACTCGAAATGAGCATGTATTTCGAATTTTACAATCTATATAGCATTGGCAGTCCTGAGTTCTGAGTTTGAACTTTGATCATGGGGTTAGAAATGACACAAATTAGATATATATATGAGCTAAATTATTCAGATTTAACGATAGAACTTACCGGTATGTGCTCGGTTATAGGGAAGGCATCTCAGTACAATAACTTTTCTTTCGAAGTTTGTAGTTACGAAGTGTATTATGACCCCCAAATAGGAATCCAGCGCTTTTGACAACCAAACATCACAGCTCAGACTGTAATCAGCTCCTTTCAGTCAATAAATTTCTTCAGTTTAAACTGTACTCTATCATATAATTCAGGAAACAGTTTTGTGCGCACCACCTTCTCTGAGGGTATGTCAAACTTCTTGTTCAAACCTGAATGAGCCGGAAGTCAGATGATCTTAATTTATCTGTAAATAATTATCCAACAAATGATTGTCAATCTGCTGCTAATTTACTTAATAGCAATCAATTTTATCATCACAAAGAACTCAATTGGAATTGTAATCTGGAGTCATCACAGCTCGAGCCTAGAAAAGTTGTTTTTTTATTGAGCTAAGTTATTAAAAACGTCCCAAATCAATCTTACCGTCAACAAACTGTTGAAATTGTTCATTCTCAACAGTCGTGTATGGGAGCATCTGATCAATAATTCATTTCAGGAGCAACTTTTTAGATCTTTTTGACGTTCATCAGTCTAGTAACAGTGGCGCCGCTCCAGACTGCCCCCAGTGTGGGCTGATTAGAAGTCTGATAGAAGCCAAGGACTCCAAATATGGACTTCCTCCAGGATCTGGCACAGTAAAGAATGTCCACACACCGGAAACATTCCTTTTGGATTGAGACATCCTAGCCTAAGGCATGTGACAAGCACCTGCAGCAAAGCACAGATTAGATTAGATTAGATTAGGAATAATGACATAAACATCATCACTAGTTTTAAACAATCTTTCTGATTTCCTCATTATCAGAACTGTGAACATTTAATATTAGCCTGTACTGGCTCAATAAAATGTGACCTCCAGATCAGTAAATTTAGGGGTGCTGGAAGAGCTGCATAGAGTCCACTAGTATTTAATATTAGCCTGTACTGGCTCAATAAAATGTGACCTCCAGATCAGTAAAATTAAGGGTGCTGGAAGAGCTGCATAGAGTCCACTAGTATTTAATTATCCTGTACTGGCTCAATAAAATGTGACCTCCAGATCAGTTAAATTAGGGGTGCTGGAAGAGCTGCATAGAGTCCACTAGTATTTAATATTAGCCTGTACTGGCTCAATAAAATGTGACCTCCAGATCAGTAAAATTAGGGGTGCTGGAAGAGCTGCATAGAGTCCACTAGTATTTAATATTAGCCTGTACTGGCTCAATAAAATGTGACCTCCAGATCAGTAAAATTAAGGGTGCTGGAAGAGCTGCATAGAGTCCACTAGTATTTAATATTAGCCTGTACTGGCTCAATAAAATGTGACCTCCAGATCAGTAAAATTAGGGGTGCTGGAAGAGCTGCATAGAGTCCACTAGTATTTAATATTAGCCTGTACTGGCTCAATAAAATGTGACCTCCAGATCAGTAAAATTAAGGGTGCTGGAAGAGCTGCATAGAGTCCACTAGTATTTAATATTAGCCTGTACTGGCTCAATAAAATGTGACCTCCAGATCAGTAAAATTAGGGGTGCTGGGAGAGCTGCATAGAGTCCACTAGTATTTAATATTAGCCTGTACTGGCTCAATAAAATGTGACCTCCAGATCAGTAAATTTAGGGGTGCTGGAAGAGCTGCATAGAGTCCACTAGTATTTAATATTAGCATGTACTGGCTCAAAAAAATGTGACCTCCAGATCAGTAAAATTAGGGGTGCTGGAAGAGCTGCATAGAGTCCACTAGTATTTAATATTAGCCTGTACTGGCTCAATAAAATGTGACCTCCAGATCAGTAAAATTAGGGGTGCTGGAAGAGCTGCATAGAGTCCACTAGTATTTAATATTAGCCTGTACTGGCTCAATAAAATGTGACCTCCAGATCAGTAAATTTAGGGGTGCTGGAAGAGCTGCATAGAGTCCACTAGTATTTAATATTAGCCTGTACTGGCTCAATAAAATATGACCTCCAGATCAGTAAAATTAGGGGTGCTGGAAGAGCTGCATAGAGTCCACTAGTATTTGATATTAGCCTGTACTGGCTCAATAAAATGTGACCTCCAGATCAGTAAATTTAGGGGTGCTGGAAGAGCTGCATAGAGTCCACTAGTATTTAATATTAGCCTGTACTGGCTCAATAAAATGTGACCTCCAGATCAGTAAATTTAGGGGTGCTGGAAGAGCTGCATAGAGTCCACTAGTATTTAATATTAGCCTGTACTGGCTCAATAAAATGTGACCTCCAGATCAGTTAAATTAAGGGTGCTGGAAGAATTTGCATAGAGTCCACTAGTATTTAATATTAGCATGTACTGGCTCAAAAAAATGTGACCTCCAGATCAGTAAAATTAGGGGTGCTGGAAGAGCTGCATAGAGTCCACTAGTATTTAATATTAGCCTGTACTGGCTCAATAAAATGTGACCTCCAGATCAGTAAAATTAGGGGTGCTGGAAGAGCTGCATAGAGTCCACTAGTATTTAATATTAGCCTGTACTGGCTCAATAAAATGTGACCTCCAGATCAGTAAATTTAGGGGTGCTGAAAGAGCTGCATAGAGTCCACTAGTATTTAATATTAGCCTGTACTGGCTCAATAAAATGTGACCTCCAGATCAGTAAATTTAGGGGTGCTGGAAGAGCTGCATAGAGTCCACTAGTATTTAATATTAGCCTGTACTGGCTCAATAAAATGTGACCTCCAGATCAGTAAAATTAGGGGTGCTGGAAGAGCTGCATAGAGTCCACTAGTATTTAATATTAGCCTGTACTGGCTCAATAAAATGTGACCTCCAGATCAGTTAAATTAAGGGTGCTGGAAGAATTTGCATAGAGTCCACTAGTATTTAATATTAGCCTGTACTGGCTCAATAAAATATGACCTCCAGATCAGTAAAATTAGGGGTGCTGAAAGAGCTGCATAGAGTCCACTAGTATTTAATATTAGCCTGTACTGGCTCAATAAAATGTGACCTCCAGATCAGTAAAATTAAGGGTGCTGGAAGAGCTGCATAGAGTCCACTAGTATTTAATATTAGTCTGTACTGGCTCAATAAAATATGACCTCCAGATCAGTAAAATTAGGGGTGCTGGAAGAGCTGCATAGAGTCCACTAGTATTTAATATTAGCCTGTACTGGCTCAATAAAATGTGACCTCCAGATCAGTAAATTTAGGGGTGCTGGAAGAGCTGCATAGAGTCCACTAGTATTTAATATTAGCCTGTACTGGCTCAATAAAATGTGACCTCCAGATCAGTAAAATTAGGGGTGCTGGAAGAGCTGCATAGAGTCCACTAGTATTTAATATTAGCCTGTACTGGCTCAATAAAAGGTGACCTCCAGATCAGTAAATTTAGGGGTGCTGGAAGAGCTGCATAGAGTCCACTAGTATTTAATATTAGCCTGTACTGGCTCAATAAAATGTGACCTCCAGATCAGTAAATTTAGGGGTGCTGGAAGAGCTGCATAGAGTCCACTAGTATTTAATATTAGCCTGTACTGGCTCAATAAAATATGACCTCCAGATCAGTAAAATTAGGGGTGCTGGAAGAGCTGCATAGAGTCCACTAGTATTTAATATTAGCCTGTACTGGCTCAATAAAATGTGACCTCCAGATCAGTAAATTTAGGGGTGCTGGAAGAGCTGCATAGAGTCCACTAGTATTTAATATTAGCCTGTACTGGCTCAATAAAATATGACCTCCAGATCAGTAAAATTAGGGGTGCTGGAAGAGCTGCATAGAGTCCACTAGTATTTAATATTAGCCTGTACTGGCTCAATAAAATGTGACCTCCAGATCAGTTAAATTAGGGGTGCTGGAAGAGCTGCATAGAGTCCACTAGTATTTAATATTAGCCTGTACTGGCTCAATAAAATATGACCTCCAGATCAGTAAAATTAGGGGTGCTGGAAGAGCTGCATAGAGTCCACTAGTATTTAATATTAGCCTGTACTGGCTCAATAAAATGTGACCTCCAGATCAGTAAATTTAGGGGTGCTGGAAGAGCTGCATAGAGTCCACTAGTATTTAATATTGGCCCCAAAAAAGCGGTCCTGGTCCATGGTCGAGCCTTGGCTTTAACGAGTTGGAAGCAACCAGAGAGATGGTTAGATGTATAAATTTGGGGATTGAAGTGGTTTGCAATAACCAGAGAGATGTTAAACAAATTGAACAACAGGTTGAACAAAAAAGCATGTGTAAAAAGTTATCGAGTGATAAAATAGGACAAAGGAGAAAGCATAGATATGATCTTAGGCAGCTAGACGCCAGCTAGCTCATCGCGGTGTCACATGACTTTAATACCACGATATCATTGGTCATCTATATATCCAATGCGAAATATAAATATAGCGCGTTTTTCATGAATTAGTAGCGCCGTACAAAAATTAAGCAGTTTGGAACAAAATTACAAGTTTTCAGTTTACAGAAATATTGAAACATTTCAATTTTGTTTGCATGGAGGTTCTAATGACTTAATAAAGTCGTTTAGATAATAAAAATACTACAAAGATACCAAGTAAACTCACAAATATTGCAACTTGGTTAAAAACAATGCATTTAACTGTTTTGGTGGCGCGCGCGCGCCATCTCAGTCAATTACTCCCATATTTGGTCAAATAGGATAATAGGGACGCAGAATATGCGTCCCTCTAAAAAGTCCGATTCCCTTCATGGTATGCCCCTTTTTCCGCCTTCGGCGGCGCGCGCTTCGCGCGCGAAAAGTGGCATGCAACGTATGTCAACTCAAAACGGCAGCTTTTACTGATTTGCTCGCCCAAAAATTATTACGTGTTTTGGGTTTTTACGGTTTTGCAGCGGAATAAAACGGTTTGGTTTTTTATAGAAAACATAAATCCCAACTTTAATCATAACACTGAAGCTATTTAAAAATCTAACCACAACCTTGACGGATGTAACTCGTCTAAATTTCTTCGAAGTAGCGCGCGCCGTTTTCTTCTCGATGGCAAGTGCTACGATGGCAAGTGCTACAAAGTAGCGCGCGCCGGTCCAGATCATTAACAATGGTCCCGGTCAAAATAATTGGTAGCCCATAACTCTCCAGGGAACCATTTTGTCCTACGTTATGTGAGATGATTCGGAATTAGCGTCCAACAATACACTAATCTTCATTATTCTTTTACAGGAATTTTCTTGACATACGTTGCATGCCACTTTTCGCGCGCGAAGCGCGCGCCGCCGTAACATGTATCAAGAATTTTCCAAAATTTGGGCCAGCGATTTAGTGGGAGCGCAAAACGACAAAAGAAGTAAAAGAAATTCGGTATTATATAAAGATTCACCGGCCTTACATAAAGGTTTCACATAGCCATGTGCCTACGCGTACTGCGTGACGCGCTTGTTTCACAAGTAGGATAGCCGCCTACGGCGGTCGCGCGCTACTGCAAGCGAGAGGGCTCTGGTTAGAGCAACATAAAGGTGTAACTGCTTTACCATCGTAAATCGAGAGAAGTAGAGGAAGAGGTTAGGAAGTTTAAAGGCTATGAGTAGTG